TAATCAATCTTAATTCTGGGACACTTTTCACCAATCAATTGGAATTCTGGGATACTTTTCACCAATCAAGTGGAATACTGGTACACTTTTCACCAATCAAGTGGAATTCTGGGATACTTTTCACCAATCAATTGGAATACTGGGACACTTTTCACCAATCAAGTGGAATACTGGGACACTTTTCACAAATCAATTGGAATTCTGGGATACTTTTCACCAATCAAGTGGAATTCTGGGATACTTTTCACCAATCAAGTGAAATTCTTGGACACTTTTCACCAATCAATTGGAATTCTGGGATACTTTTCACCAATCAAGTGGAATTCTGGGATACTTTTCACCAATCAAGTGAAATTCTTGGACACTTTTCACCAATCAATTGGAATACTGGGACACTTTTCACCAATTAAGTGGAATATTGGGACACTTTTCACCAATCAAGTGGAATTCTTGGACACTTTTCACTAATCAATTAGAATACTGGGACACTTTTCACCAATCAAGTGGAATTCTTGGACACTTTTCACTAATTAATTGGAATACTGGGACACTTTTCACCAATCAAGTGGAATACTGGGACACTTTTCACTAATCAAGTGGAATTCTTGGACACTTTTCACTAATCAATTGGAATTCTGGGACACTTTTCACCAATCAATTGGAATTCTGGGATACTTTTCACCAATCAAGTGGAGTTCTTGGACACTTTTCACCAATCAATTGGAATTCTGGGATACTTTTCACCAATCAATTGGAATTCTGGGATACTTTTCACCAATTAATTGGAATTCTGGGACACTTTTCCCCAATCAAGTGGAATACTGGGACACTTTTCACCAATCAATTGGAATTCTGGGATACTTTTCACTAATCAATTGGAATTCTGGGATACTTTTCACTAATTAAGTGGAATACTGGGACACTTTTCACAAATCAAGTGGAATTCTTGGACACTTTTCACTAATCAAATGGAATTCTGGGACACTTTTCACCAATCAATTGGAATTCTGGAACACTTTTCACCAATCAATTTGAATTCTGGGATACTTTTCACTAATCAAGTAGAATACTGGGACACTTTTCACCACTCAAGTGGAAGAGTGGGACACTTTTCACCAATCCATTTGAATTCTGGAACACTTTTCACCAATCAAGTGGAATACTGGGACACTTTTCACCAATCAATTGGAATTCTGGGATACTTTTCATCAACCAATTGGAATTCTTTGACACTTTTGACCAATCAAGTGGAAGAGTGGGACATTTTTCACCAATCAATTGGAATTCTGGGATACTTTTCACCAATCAATTGGAATTCTTAGACACTTTTCACCAATCAAGTGGAAGAGTGGGACACTTTTCACCAATTAAGTGGAATACTGGGACACTTTTCACCAATCAATTGAAATTCTGGGACACGTTTTACCAATCAATTTGAATTCTGGGACACTTTTCACCAATCAATTGGAATTTCTCGGACTCTTGGAGTTCTGGGACTCTTTTTTCCAACCACTTAGAATTCTAGGATACTTTTCATAATTCAATTTAAATTCTGGGTCACTTTTTACTGCTTGCTCCAAATTCCAGAGAACTTTTTACAAAGCAATTGAAATAATATAGCAATTTTAATTATCAGTTGGAATTCTGAGACACCAGCTTCCTAAAAGATTAACCCAAGAATTACATCTGATTTAATGATGAGTTACTCACTTAGCAGTTTTGTCTTTTCTATCATCTTCTAGCATCTGTAATTTATAGAAGGAATTGGTCCCTCGAACAATATCTACCAATCCTAGAGTGGCTTGGTACTTTGTATCCCCTTCACTGTAGATATGGGAACAATCCTGAAGCCCTGAATAAAGTTAATAAGTTATGTATATTATGTAAAATGTGTCATACCTCCACATTTATAGTTTATAAATCAAATGCTGTTATCACCCACAGAATTTAATCATTGTGTTATGCACAGTGTTATTAAATATTGATACAACAATAATACAACTCACCACTATTTGGGTCAACTGCTGACCCTCCTTTTACCATCATTTTCAATTTGTCATCACCAATCTTATACTTCTGTTCCAACACTAAAATATCATAAATAATACCATGTCATATAAAGTACAACCAGAAGAAAAGTTATGCATGATATGTGCTGATCTAGGTGATCTGAGATGCACGCTCTTGCGATTGCAAGAACCCAGAGATGAAAATTGCTAGGCGCAATTTTTTGGGAATAATCTCAATGCCCAAGAATTTGAGAGTTCAAAAGCAAGTTTCATTGCCAATAGTCTATCACTGTTTATTCATAAAATCTTACAAACTCATGCTAATTGTTAAACGTGTTTCTTGTTTTATATATTATTTTTGTGTGTGATAGTGGTCGTTCTTTTGTTCATTTCAATGGCCATACATTTTGTTTATTATATTTTATACTATTCCATAAAATCTGAGTAACATTTGTCACCTCTTTGAACAATGTTATAATATGGTTGAAGCCAAATTTGAGCCGAAATTGACATATAGCCCATACTTTACTCACATTCTTCCTGAGAAGGGCCTTTATCAACTTGTGTAACACCACCAATACGACCATGAGGCTAGAATTCATCAATAGACATTATTATAAGCATTATTTTTGCACAAAAAATAACTTTATAGTTATATTCAGACAAATTATTATGACAAAAACAAAGCAAAATAAACGAATAGCTTACACAAGAACAAAATGTATAGGTTTTCATTCACAGCGAAATCCTGCATTATGTAAAAATGTAATAACAGGACAAACAAAGGTCATTAGATTCTAGTGAAGTCAAAACATCACATGCAATTCAACAAACACAAAAGTAATTTTGACATAGTCCCCTCCGAAAGATTTTGACATTCAGGTAAAAAAAAATTGAATCATTAAATTTTTGTGACAGGCGTTAGTCTGAACTTGTTACGCACTATACACTATCTCACAGTGGACGAAAAAACATTTATGGTCTTGAGGTGTGAAATACTAAAAGTGAATAAGAACAGACAAAAAAAAGAGTGCAGCTGCTCTGACATCATCACTATCGTCACTTACATCTGATCCCCAACTAGCTATGCTGTGTTTCATAATCATCAGTGCTACTCCTCCCTTTTTAACATCATCTAAGAAATCCTCTGCCACTACGTGCACATCAGCTGACTTTGCATCTTTCATTTTCTTATTCATCTTCTTTACTTCAGCTGGAAGAAAAAATTATATTTTAGTCATTAAATGCATACATTTACTATTATGATTTCATATCTGAATGAAACCGACTTAATATTTGTTGTTTATACATACTTACCTGCGGTACTTATACAGCAGGCAACTTTGGAGTCAATAGCTGTTACGACTGAGCCTCCAAAACTCTCAATACACTTGGACATTTCTTTATTTGTTTTACTTAGTTTACCAATTAAAGCAATCTTCAGATCTTGTAGAGGCTTATCAGGATTCTCAGGTGAACTGCTAATAAATATAATATAATATAATGTAATTCTTTCATGTAAAATGATTACAACACAGTTTTTGTATTTTGAATATTTAGTCAAATTAGTTTACAAAAATATGAATGACTAAAATCTGTATATGGAAGAACTATTATAATTCATAGTATTTGATTAAAAATTTACAATAATATAATGTTATTACGAAAATACCTCAAAGTATGCACGAAGACAGTACAGCGCCAGTATCGACCGACGCGCAGCGGTGGTCGATGCGACAGCGTACTGTCTTCGTGCATAATTTGAGGTATCTTCGTAATAACCTTATTATTATACATCTTTTCCTACCACAGATACATCATGAGAATGCCGAAATCTAAAAAGTTTAGAACAGAATCGGCGAACTCTATGTGTGGAGTCTGGTCAAACCCTGGTGGCAGCCATGTTTGTTTTTATTATTAGAGGACGCTTATGCACATAATCATTCCATATTTGGAACTCGCATTTCCTAATATGGTAGGATGAAATACCCCGTAAAATACCGCAAAATTATGGCACGCTGTAACTTATGACGTTACGGTGACAGATGTATAATAATGATAGATAATGTTAATCAAATCTGTCTAAAGATTCCTTCATGATTGAGTTTCATATATCAGCGCCGAATTATATTCACATATCAATATGGTTAAGACAATCACATGAATATATTCAAATGTGTGATCAAGACATACACATACCTTGCAGAGTCTGAAGTAGAAGTAGATGGAATTACACCCTCAGAAAATACACGATTCCCTTTGTTGTATGCAGAAAATTTGAATTTTTTTCTGTAAAAATAAAAAAATATGGATTAACATAAATTTTCTTGTTCCATGGTCTATAAAATATTCGTTTGTGTGAATTCTAGGTTTAAAATTTTTAAAAATAGACAGATGAACAGATTTTAATTGTTTTATATTTAGAAGCTCAACCAAACCAAACAGCTTTGTATGAAGACTTACTTTTTCAAATCATTGTTGGGATGCTTTGTTTTTCTGATGGATTGTGGGTGATGATGGAAATATCTGTGCATGGTATCTGGATGGTTTATGGTAAGCTCAAATCTCAAAAGATTAAACTATATAGTGGTATGAAATTATAATCAATTACAAAGTAGATTTAATAAGCGTAGTTCAGTTAAAAAAACACATCTTTCTTTTCCAAGGTAGGATAAAAAGTCACTTACAAGAAGTTAATTTCTTTCATAGAATCTGATATTTTCCATGGTTTTCGTTTCGGTGTTTTTGTAGTGTAGGTACATTTTGTCCAGCTAGTTAAATGACCAGTGCAATGATACGCATCATTACGTACAGTTAACTGTCCATTATTACAGTCAGGACAACGTTCCATTGCTCCAAATACCATCCCATCTGTTACTGCATTGAGTAACTGAAAGTAAAGTAATTAGTACTCAGTAATGAAAACATTAAACTACACTTGCCCTGTATATGTAAGGGCGGGCAGGTCACAGTATAGGGTGAGGAGATTGACTACACAGAGTAGGGAAGATGACAGGGTATTGACGTAAGATCACTGCATAGGATGGGGAAGGTCATCTATGCATACAATAGTATATATAGGTTTGATAGTAATCATCTAATTAGAATGTATAAACTAATATGGAAGTCACATATAATGACTCCTTAAAGAAACAATAAATAGGTCATTTGTATTTCCGATCATTGTGCAAACATTTTTTTGGTTTTTATTAAGGAATTTTCGAATTAAAAAAAATTAAATGAAAAATAAGAACATAAGATAAAATCCCACTCATCGGATATATTATGTACAGTTTAGGAACACCAATAAAGCTAATCATGTGATTAATACACTCACCTCACTTTCACCTTTTGGTGGCACCTGATTATTATCCTCTAGTAATTCACGAAGAGCTTTGTTTGAAACAGATCTATTAAGACTGTCCCTGATCTTCCAAAGTGCCTGACTTTGTTCCTGAACCAACAAAAAGAGATATATAATTTTCTGTTGTTTGAATAGATTACAATCATTAATTAGGGTGCAATAAGGATCATTATTATTGTCATATGATTTTTTTCGTTCATTAGAAGTGTATACAATAGTATTAAATATGCTACTACACTTTACAATGTACGAGAAAGTAGATGACAATTGTTTCAGTCTACAGAACATCTATCCAAGATTTACAAGATGCAGAACATCTATCCAAGATTTACAAGATGCAGAACATCTATCCAAGATTTACAACATGCAGAACATCTATCCGAGATTTACAAACTGCAGAACATCTATCCAAGATTTACAACCTGCAGAACATCTATCCATATCCAAGATTTACAACCTGCAGAACATCTATCCAAGATTTACAACCTGCAGAACATCTATTCACGTTTTACAACCTGCAGAACACCTATCCAAAATTTACTACCTGCAGAACATCTATCCAAGATTTACAACCTGCAGAACATCGATCCAAGATTAACAACCTGCAGAACATCAATCCAAGATTAACAACCTGCAGAACATCTATTCACGATTTACAACCTGCAAAACATCTATCCAAGATTTACAACCTGCAGAACACCTATCCAAGATTTACAACCTGCAGAACATCTATCCAAGATTTACAACCTGCACAACATCTATCCAAGATTTACAACCTGCAGAACATCATCTATCCAAGATTTACAACCTGCAGAACATCTATTCACGATTTACAACCTGCAGAACACCTATCCAAGATTTACAACCTGTAGAACATCTATCCAAGATTTACAACCTGCACAACATCTATCCAAGATTTACAACCTGCAGAACATCAATCCAAGATTAACAACCTGCAGAACATCTATTCACGATTTACAACCTGCACAACATCTATCCAAGATTTACAACCTGCAGAACATCATCTATCCAAGATTTACAGCCTGCAGAACATCTATTCAAGATTTACAACCTGCAGAACATCTATCCAAGATTTACAACCTACACAACATCTATTCAAGATTTACAACCTGCAGAACATCATCTGTCCAAGATTTACAGTCTGCAGAACATCTATTCAAGATTTACAACCTGCAGAACATCTATTCACGTTTTACAACCTGCAGAACATCTATCCAAGATTTACAACCTGCAGAACATCTATTCACGATTTACAACCTGCACAACATCTATCCAAGATTTACAACCTGCAGAACATCATCTATCCAAGATTTACAGCCTGCAGAACATCTATTCAAGATTTACAACCTGCAGAACATCTATTCACGTTTTACAACCTGCAGAACATCTATTCACGTTTTACAACCTGCAGAACATCTATTCAAGATTTACAACCTGCAGAACATCATCTGTCCAAGATTTACAACCTGCAGAACATCTATCCAAAATTTACAACCTACACAACATCTATTCAAGATTTACAACCAGCAGAACTTCTATCCAAGATTTACAGCCTGCAGGACATCTATTCAAGATTTGCAACCAGCAGAACTTCTATCCAAGATTTACAACCTGCAGAACATCTATCCAAGATTTACAACCAACAGAACGTCTATCCAAGATTTACAACCTGCAGAACATCTATCCAAGATTTACAGCCTACAGAACATCTATCCAAGATTTACAACCAGTAGAACTTCTATCCAAGATTTACAACCTGCAGAACATCTATCCAAGATTTACAACCTGCAGAACATCTATCCAAGATTTACAACCTGCAGAACATCTATCCAAGAGTTACAACTTGCAAAACATCTATCCACGATTTACAACCTGCAGAAAATCTATCCAAGATTTACAACCTGTAGAACATCTATCCAAGATTTACAACCTGCAGAACATCTATCCAAGATTAACAACCAACAGAACTTCTATCCAAGATTTACAACCTGGAGAACATCTATCCTAGATTTACAACCTGCAGACCATCTATCCAAGATTTACAACCTGCAGAACATCTATCGAAGATTTACAACCAGCAGAACTTCTATCCAAGATTTACAACCTGCAGAACATCTATCTAAGATTAACAACCAACAGAACTTCTATCCAAGATTTACAACTTGCAGAACATCTATCCTAGATTTACAACCTGCAGAACATCTATCCAAGATTTACAACCTGCAGAACATCTACCAAGATTTACAACCAGCAGAACATCTATCCAAAATTTACAACCTACAGAACATCTATCCAAAATTTACAACCTGCAGAAGATCTATCCAAGATTT